TGTCTTACCCAACAATTCACCATTGGACAGCCTTAGAACAGATCCTGTGTTATCTAAAAGGAGCTCTTGGACGTGGGATATTATACAGAAATCATGGACATACTCACATCGAATGCTTCTCAGATACAGATTGGGTATGTTCCAAAATTGATTGAAGATCTACAACTGGCTATTGTGTTTTTGTTGGAGGCAATTTAATCTCATGGAAAAGTAAGAAGCAAAATGTTGTATCCCAATCCAGCGTAGAATCGGAGTATAGATCTATGGCACAATCTGTGTGTGAGATAGTGCGGATATACCAGCTCTTAACTGAAGTTTGTCTTAGGGTTTCAATACCAGCAAAGTAGTGGTGTGACAATCAAGCTGCTCTTCATATTGCTCCCAATCCTGTATTTCATGAATCAACTAAACACATTAAGATTGATTGTCATTTCGTTCGTGAGAAGGAGCAACCGAATTTAATCTCTACAAAATATGTGAAAACTAGAAAACAACTAGGAGATATTTTCACAAAAACTTTAAATGGGATTCAAATTGATTATATTTGTAACAAGCTGGGTATGATTAATACCTATGCTCCAGCTTGAGGGTAGCATTATGAAATGTACAGCCGGTAGGATTATATAACCTTAATTATATGGATCCTTTCCTAATATAGATTCCCATACACACACACACACACTTCTCCAAAGAAAAAATCAATGAAATTATTCTCTCCAAATAACAGGGACCAAAGTGCACAAGTCAAAACGTTTAAGGACCCGAGTTGCACATTTGGAAGGACTTGATTGAAAAAGAATTCAAAATTTAAAGACAAAATTGGATGCAATCAAAGTTGAAGGACCATCAATTTTTTAGGGACCAAACTGAAGAAAGGAAAAAGAGAGAGGCTAAGGTGTGCGTCTAAAACTGCAGCTAAGGTGCATGCCTAAGACTACAGCTAAGGGCACAAGGAGAATACATCAAAAAAGGTGAAGAAATATTTGGAAAACTCAAGATTAATCTATAACAATTTTCAAGAATCCAACCAAGAAGGGGGTTTCACTTTTATCTTGAATTTAATCCATTATTTTTCTCCATTTGTAATGTATTGTGTAAAATATTCTCATTTTTATCATTTATATAATATAGGCTAATTTATTGTGTTGAAATTTATGATATTAGTTTAATTTAGCCTTAATTAATTTTAATATTTGCCCTTCAATGTTAAAATGCTTATTTTTATGTGTTTTTACTATTGTTATTGTTGCATTTTCATTTATGTGGCCAATGAATGATTATATTTAGTAATTTGTACATCGTTCGATGGAAGATTGTGCATTTTAGAACAAATAGTAGAAACCCTATATTTGTGTAGGGGATAGAAATATACCCCTACTCTAGGTGACCCATTGCTATTTTCACAAATATTTAATGTGATTGTTTGGTTTTAATCGACATAGAGATATGGTAGGTTAAACTAATCAATTAGGGTTAATTTAGCTGGAGAAAGGTAATTAAATAAAATAGGAAAATTGGATCTAATATCGTAAATAAGTAATTTGTTAATTGGCTTGCGAAGAAATTAATTGGGCGACGATTAAATGAAACAATGTATCCCAACAACGTTTTCCTCCGAAATTTCCAAGAATTTTATATTTTCTTATTTTGTAGATTTTTAGTTACTTTTCAAAATCAAATCTTTATTGTGTGTTTGTTTCTTTTTATTGTTAAAATTAAATTAATTAAAGTTGTGTAATCGAAAGTACACATTCCTCGCGTGATCGATAATCCGGACTCAAAATGTCCACTTATTATTTGAATGTGACCTGTGCACTTGCGATATGCACTTTTAGCTAACAAGTTTTTAACTCTGTTGTTGGGAAATGTCTTTATTTTGATTACCACTTTAGTTAATTTTAGTTTTAACGATTTCTTTTTATTCATTTTAAGTACTTTTATTTTTGTATATTTTGGCTAACCCCCATATTTTTAATCTATCTCGCGTTGGCATTTTCTCATTGCACTTTTCAGCTGTAATTGCATTATTCCGATCTTGGTAAAGTAATAAAGTTTTTGCAATGTCTAATCTATATTTTGACTACGGAGTTATGCTTGCAAGTCCAAGATGTGAAATTTGTCAAGCGATGCATTGTACAAGGCAATACTTGTTTTCGTGCACCGATACCTCAATGTCGAAACTTTTTTTGATTTAGACAATATTTGAGATGTCGAAAACAAGCAATGGACAATTTCGATTATAGTTACATACTCGTGGGAGATCATGTAACTGGTGATTGGGACGAGGACATCCAACTTTCGAGAGATGGTCCTCCATTTTTGAATGAGAGGGTACTTGCAAGTTGCAAAGTATTACAATACTTGCCAAGTTGGATGAAGAAGACATGCTAGTAAGAGATTACAAATATTGGGATAGATTTCAAAAGTAGGGTATAATCCACCCAACGAGGTTTATAGGAAAGACTTGCCATTGCCCGTGGAGTTAGATGATGGACCAGTCATTTAATCCAAAGATGAGTAAACTATTGGAGAAGAGCTTAAAGAGAATGAAAAAATTAATCACAGCGAAGCTAAATGAAGATATGGCAATCAATGATCGACTTACATTATTTTGACATGGTTGATTGTCAAGAAATTGATTTTGTCATTAAGTAGGATAAGGAAGTAGAACTCTTCATTGTTGAATTTGAATTGGATGGAATAAGCAACTCCTATTATATGGAAATGGGCAATGTTGAGTTTTGGAGATGTAATGAAGAGTGGAACAAAGCCAAACGAAGGAAAATGGGCAAGGCATCCAAAGACTTTTTAGGTGCTTGTGATTTAATTGTCAAATCCGAGCTAAAGACTATAAAAAAGCGCTTATTGAGAGGCAACCCAACTTTTTAATTTTTAAGCTTTTTATTTACTTTTATATATTTTTATGCTCTGATTTGATTAGCTATCATTTTTTGTAGGGAATTTTTGAAGTCCCACATATCTATGGTTTTTCACAAGTTTGGGGGTAAATTGGTGTACAAGAAGGTCACTAGCCCAAGTTCATCAAGAGCATCACAAGTCCAATTCAAGCATTGGTGCCTCTTCACAATTCTCTTTATCTTGTTGTTAACACATTGAAGACAATGTATGATTTAAATTTCGAGGTGCTTGTGCTTTATTAGTGATTTTGTGTTGACGTGTTAGATATAACCTTGCCGGCTTTGAATGGTTTGATGTTTAAAATTGTTATTGATTCATGAATTATGACCAAATATGCTATTTGTGCCTAATTTTTTTTTCAAATTGCTTATCCATGTGAGATCCCAAATTACTTTGAGCACAATAGACATGATTAATTGTCCATGTCTGCATATACTTCTAAACATTTTCACAAAATGTTAGTGTCATAAAAAATAAGAGTAAATTAGATAGACTCAAAAAAAAGTATGACATTTTGATATTCATCCAAGTTCTCCTGAAGCATTGACCAAAGAAAGGAAAACTATTAAATGGTTTAGCGCACCCCACATCTCAAAGATATATGCATAACTGAGAGGATGTTACTTTGAAGAGCTCACATTGTGGTAGATCAAGTAATACATTTACATGCAATTCTATCATGAGTTAATGTACCTCATTTTCTCTCTTAAACCATATATAATCACTAATATGTCTAAGCGGTTAAAAGAAAAATGTAATGTAATTATTTGGCATCAAACTATAAATCTTTACATTATAATTCTCTGCATCCTTCCCGACATTTTCATTTTGAAGAAATTCAAAACCAATTTTGACACCACATAAAAATCAATGTAAACTCATCTGCCTTTATGAGATTATTAACTCTATTCACTCGTAGTACACATATATTTCCATTCTCTAGCTGTCCACCTGATGCTCATAACTTAAATCCTTGGTATAGCTTAATTAAGATGGATAAGTTATCGAAATACAATCTACACACAAAAGTTGAATGACAACCCTAGAGACTTGAATGAATAATATGGAGAAGGTTAACTACAAACATCATAAAATTGGTTTGAGCATCAAAGTATAATATATATATTTTACACTTTTTCAATCACATTTTAATAGAGTAACATATATTAATAACAATATATATGAGTTACAAATATAAATTGAATAATATAATTGTCAGTTTTTTTCCCTCAAATACTCGTAATTGTTACCTTATACTAAATGGTTTATATTCCTGACACCTAGGCATCAAATTATAGAGAGCCATTTTTCAACTGGTTCACATCAAAAATTGAAATGAAAACTGGTTATGTTCTTTTACAAATATAAAAATGAAATATGAGTCATGTTAAAACTAGTACATGAACAATAAGTACAGACATAGTACAATTCTACAAATATATGCAAAGAGGTATAGAACTTGAGGGTTATGAAAGCCATCAATGAACCATCTTAATGAGTAAACTTAACCACTTCACTAAATTAAGGCATACAGGTTAGCAGGTTCACTACTTCAACGAAAATAAATTTTCATAACCTATTTTGACTAGCTTTTGTTCTTCTTCAAAAAGGAAACTTTTTTCTTCAAGGAGTCACTAGGACATTCTATGGACTCTGTATGCAGTTGTTTAAAATTTAACACAAGCAATATAGTGCATACGTAGTCTTTATCAATTAGGAGTCCTGGGCTCGAGACTGATTTAGATGATTTTAAATCAATTCTGGAAAATACTTAAGGGTCTAAAAATACTTGCCATGTTTTGTTAATGGTTTATGCTAATGGCAGCAAATTGGACAACAAAATTTAAATTTAATATTAGATCTCTAATGAAAGTATAATGATGGTGATTTTAGTTATAATCATGCAACTAAATCACTAAATAAAATACAAAATCAGCAAAAATAATTTTTCATTTCAATCCAATACTATTTTACAGGCTTTTCTTTGCACTTATAGAGATAAGACACATAAGCCTATATGTGTTTAATTTATTTTTAGGATTAATAATATAACGTTAATAAAGACATTATAACTGAAGACTGTTGATGCTGTGCATATAACTTTTTACAACATAAAGCATATATATTGTCTTCCACTAAATCTTTCTAGAACATAGACATATTAATTTAGCATCAAAACATGGTAAATAACTTTACCTCTTGAAGATTACACTTAAAAGGATAACCTTAGTACAAGAGTAAGTCCATTTCCATCAGCCCGCCGGTGGGAGCGAGAAGTTTCGGATATGTTTGGCGTTTCTTCCATCAATCATCCAAATCTACATCATATATCAACGGATTATGGTTTCGAGGGTCATCCATTACGAAAAGACCCTCCTTTGAGTGGACATGACGCTATGATGATCCAGAGAAACGTGTGGTTTCTGAACCCATTGAGATGACCCAAGAATTTCGCTATTTAGATTTTGCCAGTCCTTGGGAACAGCACAGCGGCGAATTCCTAAGATGTTCAAACCCAAAACTGCCTACTTATAGTTTCAAAAATCATATCAAACAATCCATAAGAAAGGGTTATTTACACACAAATCACTCAACACGACTTTTGGTGGCCAGCATGTGAAGATACACTATGTATTTGATAGGATTCGATTGGTATGTGATGTATTATTGAGACGGTTCTGAGCTACGACCATGTTTGGAATTGAAACAGAGTTTACTCCATCCAATTTTAGCTTTGGTGTAATCTTGAAGCATATGGAGAGCTAGATATGCACAGTACACTTGATTTTCAGCTATAGATGTGTGGGTGGCGCAGGCATGGCATTTGCTTTGTGACCAAGCTGCTGCTTCCATGATAGCCGAAGAACTTGTTCAGTTATCTCGGGTTCTGTATTTATTTACTAGCTCTGGTGGGATCGAAAAATTAGCTGAAAATCTTCCTGGTGTAACACCCAATGTCCTAAAAATGCCTTAAAACCCTAAAAGTACGTACTAAATGCTGTATGGATGAAATGTAAAATGTAAAAGAGACTGGTCTGTTGGTACCACACTTCCCGCTCCATAGAACTTAACTCAGGCTTGCAACTTTGACACCTTCTCAATTGAAAAGAATATGATTTTGACGTGAAGTTGACAAAATGTTCGTTAAGAGCGACAATGAAGATCATTTGGTTGGGTAGCATCCAACTGGAAAATCAAATAGTAGGATCATTTGGTGCCTATTGCAAGGTAGGCTGGATTCAGGTCACATTCCAATCAGCGTTTGTAGCAGGCAAGAAATGGTGTCTGGGATCAATAATAGTATAAAGTAGGCCAAAAGGAAAATAATTGGAACATGTAGATCTATCATTCAAAAGATAGGATGAATCACCAATAAAGAATTCTCCATCCGTTCAACATAAAATATTTTTGGCATACTAAAGAATATGCATTGAATCTTCAAAATAACCTGACCAAACTGTGCACCTGCTTAATGATTTTTGAACGTGTGGCAAAGAGAATCAAATTTACAGAGGACGTTATTGGATTCTCGAGCTAACCTGATACTAACTCTCTTTAGAATCAGCTAGCTTCCTTTTAAGTACCTCGTTCTCCTTCCGAAGTTTCATTATCTTCTGCTTCAGTGTCTCCATGTGTTGATTTGAAGTTGAGTCTCGTTGCAGTTCAGCCAGCTTTGATTGGCTCATAAACACTGCAGATTTATAGAAAGAACTTCTAACTTTTATTTTGATAGAATGGTTTAAACTAGAAACTAAGAAATATTCCACCATTCTTGTTAAAATAATGGGCATTAGCATTTAGCACTCACATTCTTTTTCCAAATCCGGAAACTTCTTGTTCAATTCATTTTTCTCTTCTTGCTCAATCAGCAGCAAATCCTTTAAACCCTGAATCTCGTAGCAGTCTGGCGTAGAACAGAACATTTGGAACTTAGAACAAAAGAACTAGACAATTTGAACTCATTAAGCTTGCTTAGGACCTCACATCTGGATTCTACTTCGGAGCAAACTTGCTCCAATCTTCTTGTCAGCATATCTATATGGTTCTTGTGTACAGCTAAATCTTGGTGAAGCTGACTAGCAGCTGCTTCATTCGCCACCTTTTGCATTTGGAAACCTCTAATTTTATGCCAACATCGAATCTCAGTACAAAATTCCCAGTCCTCCAACAATTATCTTAATTTTTGTCTACCGAATGGCAACTTACCTGATCTGAGATTCCAAGTCTGCAATCTTTGTCATGTGATCTTGTTTAAGCCATTCAACTGCGTTCTTATATTCCTGATTACACATTGAAACTGTGTTAAAGTCTAATGCAGATTGTACAATGCAAGAATGCTTAACACGGCATTTACCAGTACTGCCAAACGATTATATATTACCAGCAAAATACACGTATAAAACGATCATCCAGAAACGTTTTCTCTTATCACATTTCGATTGCCTATGTTACCCCATACAGTGCAGAGACGACATTCCAAGGTCCGTCTCATTTTTACGCACACAAAAAGATTGCACGGATAATGAAAGGATAAAAGTAGTGGTAACATAATTTTCAATCGAAAATAGAACGAAAAACTCACAATTTCCTTTTGGGAAAGTTCATCTGTCACTCTCTTGAAATCCTCTTTCAAGCTTCTATAATTGGTCCGAAGTTCAATCTGTTATCTCGTTTCAATATATAAATCGACCAATTTCAAAACGTAAAATCATAATTTATCACTTTCATATATTAAGATAAAAAAACATAAAATTAAAAGGAAAGGTCACCTGAGCAGCAAATTTGTGAAGCGATTCCGTGTATCGCTCTGTCAGACGCTCATTCTCTGCCGCAAATTTAAATTGAATAAACAAAGATTCTGAAAGAACTATCATTTCCTTCTGAAATGACAGTAATTTTGTAACAATTTCCAAACGAGAGAAATAAATTACTAAGTGGAACCTGACTGAAGAAAGTGGACAGTCGATTCTAGGGCTTCCCGCCTCTTCATTTCTGCATTGCAGGTGGATTTCAGAGATTGGATTTCCGTGATTCCGTCTTTAAATTCCTGATTAATTCATGTCATAAAATTGCTCTTGTGAATAAAGACTTTCTTTGGGATCTATGCAAGACATGCCCAACAACCAAATAGTCAATTTATCCTCAATTGTGTCACCGATATCTTTTCTTGTTATATCCACTCTAATGTGGTCGGACATCCATATTACTATCCCCATTTCTATTATATTCATCTTATGGACATGTGGTCCTTGAGCAACCAACACTTTGTACTACAAAGTATAGTTGGTGAAACGACTCTTCGGTCAGACTTACAATTTAGTTTATGCATATTTTTCATATATATAGAATATATGTAACAAGTCTCCATTTCATCTAATTGTTATAATACCAAACATTACATTCCCTTCAAGTAAACCTTCCTTATTATAGTCAAATAATCACTTTTTAGGATAACATAATCATCTATAGCGATAAAATATTCATTTTTCCTGTGTGCGTACATATGTACGTATAATGTATATAAAGGTGCGGAGGATGGGAAGGGGGGGGAAGATTAACTCAATTAGTATGTGACTACATGGATGTATATATATTTACGAGACATCCTTGCACTTGGCATTATTATACCTGAATTTCTTTAGAAATATCACAAAGCCAACTAGGTTGAGAATCTTTAATCCATCCATAAGTTCGACGTCCATCAACAACAGCTCTGTCCCCACTGTCAAGAAAATAGAGATTGAGTAAAGTGCTATTGGCAAGATGGGATCCTGGAGGACCCCATACTCTCAGATTATAATTCCCAAACCCATCAATTTTTGGCACCCGGCTGTGTTTGGCAGGATTAGATAGGTCTTCAGCTGTGGGAAAAGTTTGTGACAAAGAATAATCCATGAGGGAGATGAAAGACATCAATTCTTCACGATTCATAGTTGATTCTTGATCATGGTTCCCTAAAACTGCTGCCCAAGGAAGTCCAGCTTTTATAACTGGGCCAAAAGCTCTGAACAGCGATTCAGCAGCGTCAGTAGCGCTTGTTCCAAATATGTTATCTCCTACATGCCAGGACGAGTGAGAGAGATCACTTATACCACATGAAAATACGAACAAGAGATGCAAAGCACCAACTAAATCAAGTGTTCTTGTGACATTAAGGGCAGAATGCTGATGAATCAGAGGACAAAAGTGCAAAATACAATTTATTTAAATGAACTTACTTTTAAATTAAACTAGAGCTTTCATCATTTACATTGAGCTAAAATAAAAAAAGGAAAGAAAAAATCCAGCCCTATTGAGAATGTGACATGTGAAATAATATTCTATTATCTACTGAAATACCATCAGAATATGCATGCATCTGTACTTTCAAGGAAATTCAGCCAAATTGTAAAGAAATTAATTGTTTTATTTTTTTGAAACCCCATTCAAGGGTAAGCTCATTTTTGTTATCAGCAAGTCTTATGACATATTTGTTGGCTCTAATGGCACATAAACTCTTCATTTTCGGAAAAGAAGAGAAAATGCAATAGTTTAACTCAAAAAAGGACTGTTCATGGATCCGAGTAAATGTACTTTCATTTTATTTGTTTATTTCTGTCACACAGGAGATAGTTGGAGATCTATAACCAATCACAAGTTGAAAAATGCCTCCCTTATGTTATTGGTCATAAATATGCTCCACAAGTAGTAGCTTTTAACATGTCAAAGCTAATTGTGTTACAAGTCACAAGCATGCCCAGTTGCCCACTAATCTGTCTACATTAAATGGCTTGTCATGTCAATTATCAAAAAATTCATTGATTAAGTATAAAATAACCTTATTCATCACTGGTCTAGGTCGCGGTGGATTCATTGATTCGTTGCCCAAATCATCAATCTATTGGACAATAAATTGAGGGACCCACTGCCTCCTAGATTCGTGCTGAGCACATCTGGTTATGAATATCATTGCTTTTAAGTTTAACTACACACTCTGCCCCTGCCATCCCTCCCTCCCCTTTTGCCCCATCATAAACATAATACCTCTTCCAAGGAATTCAACTTGCTAGTGAATTTCCCTTCTTAGCAATTTCATTTCAAGAGTTGAAACCATTAAGACAAGGATAAAGTTTTGTGGTCATCCTGGGGAACCTTCATCAGCCATTTGCTTCTAATGACACTGAAATAAAATTTGACTTACTTTTTATCACCAGTATTATGTGGGAATACCGCACTGCTAACGAGGAATGCATATTAGATTTAAAAAAAAAAAAAAAAGGATTGAAATAAGTATTATAACATTAGAAACTCGCAGAATAAAAGGAAACCTATCTCATCTAGTTTAAGACAATGCAACTCCTCCTACTTCTAGCTGTTTACAGAAACCTGATTTTTGAATTAGAATCAGTGTCCAAAAAGATATAACACTACATTGATCATCCATTTCCATCCAACTAATGATATTCATTATTGGTACAGATCATTACCAATTTAGGTGACAGTGGGCCACTAATTCATTGTCCAATAGGGTTCTGATGCATTTTAAAGCATTGAACAATAAATTAGGGCCCACTGCGATCTAAATAAGTGATCTTCACTACTAATAATGAATAGCATTATTCTTTCCTTAATTCAATCACAAGACATATTGAAGACAAATTTTGTACTTCTCTCTCTTGATAAGGAGGTTTCTCACATGGTACTACTCAATTTTCCATGCACTCTATCATTTACCTAACCTCTTCTCCTAATACGCACATTACAGGCACGAGTTTCCAGCATTAAGAGACTTGGTTGGCAAATAATTAAGCTACGAACTTCAAACTGGTACGAGGACTAGATGTTCTATTACCAATCAAGCATAGTATATATAATATAATACCAGTAAAAGCAACGAAATCAGGCTTCTCGAGCTCAATCATCTTTTCAAGAAAGCGTGTGGTGTTGAGATCAGAACAGTACTCGAATTCACTATCCAACACATCTCTGCATCGAGTCACCATGCCATTCCCAAAATGCATGTCAGCTACCTACAAAAAAATCACATCCTCACCCCAATATTCAACTAATAACCAAAAATTCCAAGAAACCCACAATTTTATTTCCATATAGAAGAAAATAAGCGAAATCCACAATCATATTGGGTGCAGAATATCATTATACCTGGAGGATTTTGAAAGTTCCATCAGAGTTGAAGCGCAGAGGGAGAGGAGGCAGCTTCTTGACTCTGACATTTTGGTGGTTGATTGAGAGTTTTTGGGATATTATCAGAATGTGAAGAAGGTGAACAGAAGCAATTATGAGGAACGAGTACAGTAAAGAGTGGATCCATGTTGCAGAAAATTCCATTTTCTCAGGATTCTCATCGGTGTACACTTTGCGATTTCTAAAGACTTCAATAGATGCATTTCCTTTTTTATTATTTTTTAACTTTTCGCTCATTTTGTTTTGACTTTATTTGTTGAGTGCACTAATAAATGGGCTTTCTGGGCCCTTTATACTGGGGCAGACTCCAGTGTTTTCAACTGGACTGGGCCAGTGTCTAGATGTTGGCCCTTTGCCCAAACCAGAGAGGAAAATCTAACGAAAGATAAAATATTTGATGGGATTGTCGCATCACATAGGACGGTGCGACCATCCAACAGAGAGCTCTCACCTCATCGGATGGTCCACCCTCACCCAATGAGGTGAGTCAACCTTGGAACTTGAGGTGAAAAGCGAAAAAAAAAAAAAATTAAATCTCGAGTTGGCCTCATCTTATTGGGTAAAGGTGGGCTACCCGATGACGTGGGGTCTCCCCATTGGGCGGTCTCGCCATGTAGGACGGTGCAATCGTCCCATCAAGATTTCTCTCCTAACGAAACAGCAACAATATGGACAACTTTACTATTGTGCCATCATTTTTCATTTTGATGCATATCGTAATTCATAATCTTCACATGTGGTTATTACTTATTCATCATTCATTTCATTTTTTTCTTATGAATATTTTAGTCAAGATCTCATTTTTATGGAAAAGTGAAGAATCTACTAATATTCTACATATTGAGGGCCTGTTTGAGCCACATTATTTCAAAAAAAATATATTCTTAAACAGTGATTTGATATCATTTCAATCACTCATTCTTTAATAAAATATTATTACATGCTTATCAAAAAAATTTCCTTATTTTTTAACTACACATTTCTCATCGATACACTATTCAAGAATTTATTATTACCAAAATAATGTGGCTCAAACACCCCCTGAATATAAATTCATTTATATACTTACACTTGTATATAGTCACAGTGTTTACGTGAAAAAGGAAAGAGAAGTTATTCAACACGTATATGCTTCAGAATATTTTCTAGTTGATAAATTTAGCTGATCCTAGTACACTTTTATTGATCAAGACTTGTATTATTTTAGGGTCATTCTAAGGGTACATAAAAGAGGACATAAGAGTGTCCAAAAATTATTTTATGCAATATATTCTCAAATGATAAGTATTGCTCGACTTCCATTACCTCTCCACTATTGAGAGGCAATTTACTTTGTACAACATACTTCCAAAATGATTCGTTTTGGCCAAAGCGTCTTATGCATTATATTGTTTTTATAATTATCATTATTTTGTAAAATAAATATTACAAATCAGGGTGGCTTTAAGAATAGGTGATCTCAAGTATCTGTATTTTTATTATGGTCATTTAATTAACAAATTATTTTCTCTTATAGTTTTGCATAATGACTAACTAATGAAATACAAAAATATGTTTGTTTATTTTAATGTGATTGCATTATCACTCAATTAATAAACTTCCACGTGGGGTTTTATTTACTTAACGTTGTTATTTCTTAATTAATTTGTCCCGACATGAGTGGCGTATCTGATTTAAGTTCATAGATCTTGATATTATGTCAAGATTTTGATTGATAATTTGATCCACGTTTTGAAAAATTATTGGTGGTTTAGGATGGCTAATGAAAAATGTTGGACTTTTGTCGTTTTAACGTGTGCAATAGTGTGTTTAACTACTGTGATGTGTTATTATAAAAAAATGTTGTGTGTATAGTGCTGTACACGTACATTACTCTCACAATTGTGAGGTTCTCGATTAATTTAATCGTGGACCCCACCTCTTGTAGGTGATGTCAAAATTATTGTAATGATAGTATAACCCATTATTTTAATAATGTCTTATCCTTAAAATATTTAAAATTTTGCATTGTTAACACTACCAAAATAATGCATTATATTACATTACTCTACAGTAGATATCCAGTGGTATTAAATTGAACAAACGTTCAATCAAAGTCTAGCTCGACTATCCCACGAGCTCATCTCCTTGGTTTGACAAGCCGAACCGACTCGAGAGCTGGTCACTGACTATCAAATTTATTTATTTTTTTAATTGAAGTTGCCTTTTTCACTCACAGTTTGCTTATTAACCAACTATGTTTACAACACAATTCATCAATTTTTATTAAAAGATTTGTCACACAATCATTTAACATTGAATGTATTGTTTTGTTGGAGAGGAAATCAATGTTTTGAATCAGTCCCATGTGAATGCCAGTAACATGTAAAATTGAATGATTGCATGTAAGATCTAGTCAAGATTTATTTACTAATATGAGAATAGTTGGCATAGTCAAACCTAGTTCTATTTAACCGTTGTCTATCTATCATCATTAAGGGAAATGAATTTTAGCCCCCGTTTGGCTCCCATTTTGTGGTAATGAAAATAGGTGAAATAGTATTTTTTTGAAAAATAAGTGGTTGAAAAAGAAAGAAAAAATTTCGATTTACGTGTAATATTATTTTATAAAAAATTGTGTGGTTGAAAATAAGAGAGAAAAATGAAATGTAATGAAATAAAAATTAATAGGGTCAAACATGGGCTTAAAATAGTGAATTTTTGTAGAATTGTGATTAAAAAGTAGGAAAAAAATTTAAATTTCTATGTAAAATATTTTATTGTAAGAGTGCATGATAAATTTGTTTGGAAAAAAAAAATTGAAATAATAGTAGACAAATAGGGACTTAGATTTGATTCTAATCAAGATTAATTGGATTCCAAGATATAGTTTGGGGAGTTTCAGCATAAATCAACTTTTCCAAGGCTTAAGCCTGTTTGTACATAATGTAATGTCTATAATTTTATTTTTATTTATTTTTTAAATCATTCAACCAGAGGCGTTTGTTTGTATTTTATACATGAATTATTGCTGTCACTTTTGTCGGGAAAAGTAAAGGTCATTTGAATTTTCCACCAAGCTCCCGACTCCCAATACTCACCCTTTTCCTCAGTCTGTGTCTGTCTTCTTTAAATACCTGAGGACAAAATTGTCAAAGCGTCATAATAATAAATAAAAGGGAAAATTGTAGCAGAAGTTTCTAATCTTTTTATTTTTTACAAACTTTATTCTAACTTTCATTTTGTACCACGAAGGTTCCTAACTATTCATAAATATGCACCTGAGGTCCATTCGAACGAAAATCATCCAAAATACTGTCAGTTAATCAAGAAAATTAAGAAATTAACATTCAATAAAATCCTCCAAAATGACATCAACATATAATAAAACAGTCACGATAGTAAATAGTTTAAGGAATTTTACCCATCAACCAATGGTGTTTTGGACGGTTTCCATCCGGATGGACCTCAGATGATATTTATGAAAGATTGGGAACATTCGCTGGCACAAAATAAATGTTAGGACTGAGTCACTTTATCCTTGTTTGAGTCATATTATTTATAGAAGAATGCATTTTTAAATAGTGTATTATTGAAAAATTTGTGATTAAAGAATAAAAAAATATTTTGAATTTACGTGTAATATTATTTTATTGAAAAATGTGCGATTAAAATAATATTAAATCACTATTTTTTGAGAATGTGGTTCAAACAAGGCCTTTATACTTTGACAAGTGTTTTCAAGATTTCATGTTTTTGAGTGTTTTTATATTTTAGGTTTGTTGAACGGTGATGTAACACAATTTAAGGACAATTTCTATACCCAATAAGTCGCATAAACAAAGTTGAAAATGCGAAAATTTGTGGCTCCAATTACAATGCAAATTGCTTGAGTCACGTGAACACGTAAATTGCACGGACAAATGGCATTTCTTCCATGTTTTGTGTATAAGAAATTGATAAAATTTTAAAATCAAAATTAACAATTAATTTAATAGCATATTTCATAAAATTCATAACATTTTAATCACACATTTAATTATGTTTTTAATCAAAATCTCCCAAAAAAAATATGATTTTAATCTATCTCAAATTGGGTTAACAAATACGATAAAAAAATGTCCCCATCAATTTCAATTGAGATACTCATTAGTGCAAATGGATGGCCAAGATCAGCGATCAAGATTACATATTATAATAATTTTAAAAATCGCACATGGCTTTATAAACATCGCTATAACAACCCCCACAGCATGGCAATAATGCCATGTAGAATAAGTCTCTCTCTCTCTCCCTTCATAAGCACCTCAACTCTCTCCCTCTCTAAAGCTCCAAAAAAAAAACACACACACTCAAACACAATGGAAAGCATTGATGAGGAATATACAAATTACTGGGAAACCAATATGTTTCTCCGAACCGAAGAACTTGTCGAGTACTTGCTTCTTTCTCGCTCTTATTTTCATGTTTCAATTCGTGTTCGTGTTTAATTAGATTATAGTGTGATCGAAGAGATTGATGCAGTTATTTCATGAATTATTTTTTTCTCTCTCGTTCTCGTATTCACGTTCATGTTTATGTTTGATAATTAAGACACTAAGAAGATCGACTATATGGACGCAGTTTTGTCGATGAAACACTATCTGCCTACTATGATTCGAGCTCTCCTGATGGAACAAATTCATCAATGACATCAAAGAACATTGTTTCAGAAAGGAATAGAAGAAAAAAGCTCAATGAAAGGCTCTATGCATTGAGATCAGTGGTCCCCAATATTACAAAGGTGAATCAATAATAAAAATACTTATGTACGTTGCATTATTGCCCCCAGGCCCCACCCCAGCCATTGCAATAAGTTAAATTTTATAATAAAAGGGCTAAAAAAAATTCTTTCTTTTTGGGTGAATCGTTGATTTGAATTTAGATGGATAAAGCATCAATAATTAGAGATGCCATTCAATATATTGAAAAGTTGGAGAAAGAAAAGAGGAGCATTCAATTAGAAATATCAGAGTTGGAATCTGGTACATCAGAAAATAGTACGACGTTCAATTTCGATCAAGAATCTCCTACGTTTTGTTCATATCCAAAGAGAGCAAGATTGGATCATGCTCGTGATTCTAAAACATCAAGATCATTTCCCATTGAAGTTCTAGAGGTGGGTTCTTCATAATACGTATCTTACTTTGCATCAAACACTTGATTGCTGCAGTCGACAATAAGTGGACAAGATTTTAATTTCTTTTTTTATTCAGTATAAAATTCACTAAATAAATTATTAGGGCATATTTAGTAAACAATACAATTAAATTGACAAGATTTTATATTCTTTTTATATCGTCATTCTTACCTAATAAATACGTTATTGTTTAATCATAGATAATTGATTAATCATGTTATTAACATTTTTTTTTTTAATTGATTAACAATGGGCAGTTGAGGGTATCCCACATGGGGGGGAAGACAGTTGTGATTAGCCTCACTTGCAGCAATAGAACATACACAATTGTAAAGCTCTGTGAGATTTTTGAATCTTTGAAGCTCAAAATCATCGCTACCAACATCACTGCCTTCTCTCAAAATCTTTTGAAGACAGTATTTGTTGAGGTAATATTCTCCTCCGAGTCTATTTCGTACTCATGCGTCGACACTTCGTAAGTATAACTATATATTTTGTAAGGTGAATCCTCCATAACAACTGTACAATCTACATAACATTTTGGTGTGTGTGTCTTCTCATTGTAGTACATTGAGCTCACGTCACTTTACACATCGTACATTCGTATGTTCTCTCTATTCTAGCAGATATGTCAATTTGCACATCTTATCATGTACACAACTATCACGTAATTGTCAAATCTTATCTTACACATATCATAACCATTTTTGCCATAATATCTATTGAACTCATCATTTTCAGCCACAATTTTTTGGAACTCATCACATTTATCAACTTTTTAATAACCGATTTCACCAACTTTTATTAAAATCTCCTTAAAAATCTAATTTTTGTAAGGCCAGACGGAAACTTACTTAACCCTTGTTTGGTGGCCATTTTCTTGGGAAAACATTTTCTACATAGTGAATTTTGGGAAAATATGTAGTTAAAAAGTAAGAAAAAGTTTTTGATTTACGTGTAGAATATTTTTATTGTATGAATGTGTGGTTGAAAATGAGTGTAAAAAAAAGAGGTTTGAAAGAATGAGAGCCAAACGGGGCTTAATACAACTCAAGAATTTTATAATTAAATAAGAGAATTAAAAAAATAATAAAATAGTGAATAATTATTTAATTTAAGAATACAAAATCGATGCTCAAATTGGATTTGGTGGACTGCCTAACTCAATTTTCCCCATTTTGTCGAACACGGTCTAGGTATATTATTATTGAAATCAAGAAACCGTTTGAACTATTTAAAATAATATACAGTATTTACCAATAAAGATATAAAATTTTATGGGAAAAATCTATATATTTAGGACCATCTAGAGGACTCGAACGTGAATAAATCATTGGTTCTAACTCGTTTTTCGTGTGGTAAATATCTATAAAAGTCAAAGAGTAAGACCTAACGAAATCCACATTGAAGATTATAAATAGTGAAATTTGAAGAAAATAATGATTCTTTTATTAAAAAACGTCGAAGTTACATAATGTTGCCTACATAAATCCAAGACAAAACTTTATATAATTAAGGGAATGGTCCAATTTTACTCAATTGTGGGTCCATAAGTTGGAAATATTTTGTTGAAAGTTTTTTCTTGTTTGAATTATCGAGGCATGCAATTGATTTCACACAAAGCACTAGACTTTAATGAAAATACAAAATTAGAACCTGTTTTGGGAGTAATTTTGAGAATTTATTTTTTGATGTTAGAAGAAAAGTGGTGTCCACTTGTGAGAGAAGAAGTCAAACATGACGACTGAAATAGTGAAATAACGGTCAAAAAATCAATTTTTTGAGAGAAAATCACTCAAACAGGCCTTTAGTGTAAGAAACGAATCTATCAATTTCAATAGTTTCATTTATTCCTAAACCTAATTAAATTATTATCTTATCCCATAGTTGATCTAATTATTAAGAGGTGTGTCGGTTGGCGAGCACAGATAATTCAATAATTATGGTAGCTCTTCTCATATTATAATTTAATTTTCCCCATTTAATTATGAGCCCATATTTAGTTTAAATTAAAATCAGATTTTTAGTAAATTTTAATAAAAGTTGATATAATGTGTAGTTGAAAAATTGTGAACCCTATAAAATGAGTGGTTATATTAATTATTGACTTTGACTTGAAATTAGAATCAAGTTTTAATCGAAAACCAATAGGGGCTGCTTGCAAGCAACTTGTGGTAACAGTCAACAAAATTCATTTCAAACGAGAAATAGTTTAATGGTGCTATTCTCAATAATCTTCTTTGATTATATTCTTCTTTTTCTTCCATGCCTTTAGATTTGGAGTGCCATGAACATTTGTTGGGGATGGCTTCAAGCGTTTGATTCTAGATGATTCTTGTCACATTTAAACAAAAAAAATATATATATCTACGGTATTATCATGATATTGAGAGTTGATGTTCTAGACAATAAATTTTTCAAGCTTTACCCCCGTTTAGTTAACAAGATATCTCGTTTTTGAATTGGCATGATCAATAATTTTTTGATGATAACAAAGATCACAAACATATGACGTCTTATTTATTTTCTGAACCTTGCTATAGAGACAGGGCCAAATGACAGGCCCTTAAACATGTACGAGGTGTTGCAAAACCCTGTTTGAATGACAAAACCCTTATTTTTGAGCATATTTTCTTTTCTTTTGCTGTCAACTTTAATAAAATATTTAACTACTTTTTCAGGCAGATGAAGAGGAGAGAGAACTTTTGAGACTAAAGATAGAAGGTGCCATAGCAGCTCTAAATGATCCAGACAGCCCTATGAGCTTGTAAAATTGTCTTTTCTCCCATAGGATTTAAAAAAAAAATAAAAATAAAAATAAAAAAATTCTCCTCCTCCTTTTTCTTCTCTCTTTTTTTTTTTTTTTTAATTTTTTTTTCTGAGAGGGGTTAAGGGTGGGGAGGGTTGGGGTTTGATCTTTTCTATATTTCTGTTATTAACTTTCACCATTTTCACATCTGTAGTCTGTAAAATGTAGTTTAGCTTGAAAATTCCCTAATAAATGAAATGGCTTTTTGTTATATCTCTTTTTGTTATTGTTTACAGCTACACGTTTACTTGGATATGAAGAAGAAAATATGTTAGATTTACGTGACAATCAAGCGTAATATTGATAGGCTTATCAACAAATAATAGTCGATTCAACTATAAATACAAAGTATATTGATATAACGTATTTTAAAAATATAATTTGAATGGGAATTCAATTTTTATTTCGACGAAAAAGACAATATCATCTTTTCTTAAGTTTTGGAAGAAAATACACAAATTATAAACAGCAACCCTATAATTGAATACCAACTATTGAAGAATAAATTTACCTTTAACCTTTTAGAAATCTTAGGCAATTATGGTACGTTGTGTTACACAAATAATACAATTGTTTGTCAAGGCTTTAGGTTTAGGGTAGATCAGGATACTCAGTGTTGTAGATTAAGTTCATTGATTTCTAATAGTATCCGGTCAAATGTAATCTTATTTGTGACATAAATTCCTAGCAATAATATATTAAACTACTTTGAGACTTGATTGGCCCCATTAAATTTCACTACATTACATTCCATTTTTCTCTCTCCTATTTTCAACCACACAATCTTTCATAAAATAATATTACACGTAAATCGAAAAAAATTCCTTCTTTTTCAACCATTCATTTTTCAAAAAAATAATATTCCACTCATTTTCATTTTTCAAAAAATGGGGCCAAACGGTTGCTAAATTGTGACTTCTAGTTAAAAAGTACACAATACCAAAATTGAATTTAGCAATTAGCAAACTACACCTTAGGCTTCCATAGGGTGAAAAATAAAATTCAAATTTTAATCTAAATAAAAGTCAATAATCAAAATTAACCACATATTTTATAGGATCCATAACTTTTTAACAATATATTTTATCAACTTGTATCAAAATATATTAAAAATCTAATTTTAATCTCCACCAAACAGAGCTTAATCTACAAATTTAATGTTTTAGACTTGAGAGTTCAAGAAACCACGTTCCACCATCATGCTATGGGTTAGAAGTTACTCTAGACTCAAGTATAGTTACCTTTTTGCATGCGGGGCACCAAAATGTAGGGAAACTGGAAACACCAGGACAGCATAAGAATTAAAAAATTAATAACTGTCTTGATCAACAACCACTCAACTAACAAATATAATAATAATAATAATAATAATAATAAAAACATGCTACACCAAAAAGAGAACTCCTCCTAAACAATATCTTATATTTTATAAATAGTAACGTCAACCTCACATACAGAATGTGTAATATAACACAAAATGCATATTCTTTGCGAAACTATTATCTTCTCCTTAAATAACAAATAGGTTACAAATAGAGAGGGCCAAAATAATCAAACCAAACTAGAATCGACCAGTTCGTTTCGATTCTGTTTAAATTTAAATGGCTCTAGATCTTAGAATCAAGAACTGAGAGACGAATCTAATCCAAGTTTTTTTAGTTAGTTATGTTTATTTGTTCAATTGGTGAATGATTTTTGTTAGATAAGACTTCATATGAAGATGAATCTTTTCCGTTGAAGTGAATGAGGTTTTACCATCTTGATTTTGAATGTGAGTATTAAAATTTGATGATAGAGTTTGAATGGAGAGTGCTGGGCACAATCTCAAAGCGAGGCAAGTTGTTATCATTTTGTAATTTGCATCAGAATTTAAAAATTTTGGTTGTAGAACTGAACCAAATCAAAGGGGAACCATTCGGTTCTATTTTTGTTTCTTTTCCATAATTATTGATAGAATCGGAAATTTTCTTATTAGAAAATCATCGATTCTCCATTTGAGTTCTCTTCATAAACACACCAAACAGAATCACATATCACATCCTCCCCACATTACAACTAGGAACGAAGTTTAAATGAGATCAATCTAACACCCCCAAACGTGAATAAGCGCGCTGGCTGGTATTATAGAGAAAACAAGCGCAAGTGCCTCTAACCCTTATAAATAGAAGACTCCGTGCCTAAAATAATTAACGTACACCTTTTGGACGCCAAATCACCGTGAAATATAGTTATAGACTCAAACAGTTTACAATATAGTTCCGGCTTTAGTAAGGGAATCTTTCTTTTCATTTTCTTGTATTAGCAAAAGTGAATGGGATCAGAGCATTCTCCTTAATAAAGAACATAGGATTTAAACAAAAATATTGTGGCGGCAGCAAAACAAGGTATCTCATGTTGTAATTTGATATTCAATTTATAATGATAAGTATATTGAAATGATAATACATCTATATGGGTGTATAGAGTAAGTACAAAAATATCAAAAACAAAATGAGAAGAAAAAATGGATGAGCTGAACTTTTGGACTGGGCACTCGTTCGGGTGCCCGAGTGCCCAACATCGCTTTCAATAACTCGAGGCCAAAATTTTTACTGTTGGGTTTGAAATTTTTGATTTGTTTTTGGCACATTTTCATGAAAAATATGCAAGTTTTCATGAACCTTTGAGACATTTTTGTACTGTATGATTGAGAATTTATATATATGAGATATATTTCATTCTTTTACATAATGATTACACCACCAACACTTGAAATCATTCCATTCATAGAGAGTTTTACAAAAGTTTCTTTACATATTCATCATTTTAGCGTTCTTCAAGTTTTAAAGAGAAAACACAAACGTTTAGTATCTTTCTTCTTCTAAGGCTTGTTTAATTCTACAAATCATTTGCTTTGAGTCATTTTTAGCATAAAAAAAATCCTAGAGGGGACAAATATAGTTTGAGAACAGTGATTATGTGTTCAAGCCATTTTCCGGTATTTGCTACTTCCATTGGTTTTCTTCTCCATTTTCCTTGAAGGATTCAAGTTTTACCAACATTCCCAAACTAAATTTTCCATGGAGAATGAAACTATCATGGCTATCTTCAAACATATGAATCAAGAATTTGTTCGCTTAGATCGATTCGACAGAACAAGTTTTATTCGATGACAAGACAAGTTGAAGTTCATTCTCACAGTTCAAAATTCTCCACATCCTTGATCCGAAATTGGCCTCATTTCGGTGCTACACTATTCACTTGCACAATTTTGCACAAATTTGATAAAAGTCATGAAATGATATCAAGGGTAATTGTGTCATTTTACATAAATTATTATTATCATCATCATCATCATCGTCATCTGTAATACACTTTAATTGTGTAATCAATAATAATCGAGGAATGAATTAAAATAAAATTACTCGAAATGTATTAATTGAATTTTTGTGGGACAAATATATGAAATTCTGATAATTAAATTACGACACTAGGTCGACTTTGTCGTATCATAATTTCGGGATTCGAAATGTACTACATTGTTATTAATAACACAATTTAATATGTTCTTAGTTGTAGTATTTTTATTACTTATACTACATTTTTAAAATTTAATAAATAATTTAATATTTTCATAAAAGAAACGTAATTATGTATGTAGTAGTAAATTAAATAAATAAATAAATAATTTTTCAACTATATAAATTGTTAAGAATAAAAAAAATGAAGAAAATGATTAAACATTGTTCATTTGGTACAACTTTTGGTATAATGGGTTGGAGAAGATTTTTAATTTGGTGCAAATTTTGGTACATGGTTGTAGATGGTCTAATGCTTGTTAAATCCAACAAATCATTTGCCATGAGTCCTTTTAAACATAAAAAACAATTCTAGAGGAGGCAAATTTAGTTTGAGAAGACCAATTACGTGTTTAAGCCATTTTCTGAAGTTTGCTACTTCTTCTGGTTCACTTCTCCATTTTCCTCGAAGGATTCAAGTTTTTTCCAACATCTCTCTCTCCATTTTCTTCAGTTTCTCATCTAGAGAAACGATAAGAAACTGAAATAAGGCAACATATGCACAATGTTACCGTGCTGGCTTATTGCTATGAAGAGCCAAAACCAGCTACTGAATTCGATTAAATTACGTGAATTACTAGTATAATACCAGATAATTAATCAGACAATCAACAAACAAGGATACTAAATTTGAATTAACCAGGGCTCCAAGGCTGTATCAAAACTAGAGGAAACAAACCTTCTTAAGGCTCCAGCATATAAGATGAGATGAAGTGAACCATTAAGTAACAAACTGGTTACCAGGATACAGAGAAGGAATATGTTTCTTCATCAATGAAACAATCATGGCATAATGAAGTATTCACTAGTTTGAGAGGACACGACAAGCAACGGTTAACTAGTTTTAAACTAGTTTGAGCGCAATCTTTCAACTCTCAGCATCTTCTACGTTCCTTCAGTCAAAATGTTGAGCCGTTGAACCCAAAAAATGAGCCCTGAACACAAGATCATAAAACTGTGTAAGTACCTTTATTCTCTTACCTTCAAACAATGATGTTAGTTGTAATATATTGATTCAAATGGATAGTTGGAGAAAAAATAGTCACAAAGAGATCAATACAGAAGCACCACGAGTTTATACTAACATAAAAGTTTCCCACCACTCATATTTAATCTATAATAAACCGATCAAAACATTTAGGTGTTCTAGTAAGGGCGTTGGCAAAGCTTATATGAAATAAATCTAACTTCATGTCCCTCCATCATTAATTGACATGAATAGAGGATCAAAGACAATCCCATACGCCAGGGGCACAATCATATATGTAGTTTTATCTCCGAACCCCAAGAAGATGGTCGTCTATTTGAGTTCACATCAAAAAACCATATAAGATATTTCAATTATACAAGACAAGATCACCTTTCTTATCATGTTAAATATTTTACCTGAACATCATAAAATTTTATATAAAACCGAGAACTGTCAATAGAGAGTTTGGTCTCAAGAATCTCTGCGATGGTTGAGCTGAGCTTGCCGTTGACACTAGGTCCAAGGCCCCCAATGGAGATCAATTCGCCATATGCAGATGGCTCTTCAGTTCCAGCAAATGCAATTGGAACCCCTCCATTTAACAATATCATCACGTACTGCAGAACAAAATCAAGAAATTACATAAACAAAAGAATGTTCCTACGATCATATTACAGGAAAGTAACAAGAACGGTAAGATAAAATTTTCATAAGTTCTATTATAGATTGGTTCCTTGTGTCAACATTATTGAGTTATAAAATATAAATGGTCATTCCTGTTGAAATATGATATAAAGTAAACTTGGACTCCACAAGAACCATTTCCAAGATAGAATTTCCTAACAATTAACTTTTGCCAGTACATCCAAAATCACAAAATGGAGGAAAAAAAAAGTCCCAGCAGAAAAGCAGTTTCCTTTTTCGAAGAGGAATATTATCAAACAGCTGGCAGTCAATTGTATGCATGCACCAGAACCCACAAACTTAGACACGAAAATTCTGCAAATACAAGCATAAGTAAACATATTCGAAAATTGGAACTTAACAGATTCAGGTTTGCCAATAATCTTGGCAACAGCTTTGGTAGCATCTTTAAGAACATCAGAGGCAACCACTGGATCAACGGGGATGTTTGTGAATAAATTCAAAGTGGGCATAACTGTGCGCTTAATTCTCCGTTTCTCTCTGCTTTAATGAAAAAAGAAACACTAGCACTCAATAGGCAAATAACTCCGTAGCTACAAATCAAGAGCTTCTAGATAATAGTTTGAGGCTAAGCAGGTAGAAGTGATAATGCCTAATGGGAAGGATATGTGTAGCTTATTGCGCAACCTTGTCCATGGATTGGATGAGACAGCAGTGTGTGGTGAGGCGGCGTAGGAATAATTTTTTAATTTTCTATTTTGGTTTCACGCATAAAAATGTAGTTTTCATTAATTTAATCACCGCGAACTGAAGATGAAATTAAAATATTCTGTACATAAATTCACTTTTTTAAACATTTTTACCGCATATTTTTAAAAAATTTAGCCACTGTTTGATATTAATTTAAATCAGATTTTAATTTAAATTAAAATCAAACAATTAAGATTCATCACATTTTCATACGTTCCACAACTTTTCAATCACACATTTCAAAAATTTCTATCAAAATCTACTAAAAATTTAATTTTAATCCCGTATACAAAACTTTGTTTTTGAATTTTAAAGGCCATTAGACAGAGACTTATTACCAACTGGAATTACAAAGCTACACGAGACATAATACACGTTGCCAAAGTAGAAATAAAATGGTAACATTAGGCGCAAAAAATCACATTATGCAATGTTAATACGATGGCCATACCACATTTTTCTTTTACATTTGTCAATACCCTCACATAGATAACTAGAAAACTTTCTTGTTTGCATTGGGAGTGTGAGGACAAGAAAGGCGCGGCCAATCTAGCCTAAATTCAGGGCAAAATGCCGCTGCGCAATTGACTCTGAACCCTTTGATGCACTCTCGCACCAAACATATTGAAATATACCAGTTAGCGCTTTCCTTGAAACGAATTCCATTTGTGTATGTGCTCCCGATAAAGATATGGTACTCTATTCCATTACTCCAAATCCCTTGATTCGTTACGGTCCCTCATGTGATACTTCAACCTCCTCACGTCCCAGTTAGTGGTTCTCCCTCAAGCTTAAGACAAACTTTTGGCATGAAGCCCTTCATAGGATGTAAAAGCTCTTTTCATCATCAGAAAGAACCTGATTTCCGACCTTTTGCATTGCACGAAAACGAAAAAAAAAATTCATTCAAAAAAGAGATTTGCCCGTTCACAAGTCTCCATTTTAACCTAACTTGAGCACTTAATTTCCCTTTTTAACCTTCGATATGCCTTTCAAGGTGACAACTTCTATAGTCTAGTTTGTGTATAGGGGCTTCGAAGGGTTTTGTACCGATCTGATAAAAATGAATAGATCAGATCAAAATACAAGAAATTATCAGATATTGGCCAAGTTGCTGAACAAGGTGGCCATCCTAAAGCACGCAAGGCTCAGCATCCTCCATGGAAAGAGAGCCAACTATACATTTTGACTAGCTTCCCACAATTGCTCCCCATTCTTCTCGTAGCACAGCAACCGTACCAATATCTCCCTTTGTTGTTATAATTGTAGCATCAGAATTAAGCTTGAATCTACTAGCATACGGAACACACCATCGCTTTTGATGCTAGTTTAAATTCCAAAATTTTGATATGATTTCAAGACAAGGTATATCGACATAAGAACAAATGCAGCTAATTAACAAATGTTGATGTTACATCAAGTTGACGACAATATTGTTTGTTAAGATGGGGTTCAATTATTAGTCAATTTACAAACAACAAAATAAGTGCAGAAACAAGAAAATTATAATCACAGTAAAATAAGAACACAAGATATTTCGCTCTAAGGCAAGATGTTCAGAATATAAAATGTTCCTAATCCCCTTTTGAGCTTTCGCCACCGCAAAAACCACTTGTATTAAAAAATCGAAACCATGGAACCATCTAAAATGTACACAACTAAGGCACTCAGGCTTAATCACTCAAGATTACATTATAACACTTTTCGATCTACACATAAAACGTTCACACAAGAACAAAGAAGCTCTCAGATTTACAGATCACTCAAGAAATGTAAAAAGTATTTGAGAGAGTTTCTGGAACTCAAAAGGCAGAAAAACGAGAGAGGAATGAATCAATCTCACAAACCCTAAAAAATGGAGTGTCTTTAAGAAGTCACCAGAAGGTCATATATCCAATGGTCATAGGAGTGACACTTGGCATCCAATTTAAATGAGTCGCATTTCCAGATAAAAGACACTTTATAAATTTGAAACTAAAAGTCAAATATTCCGATCAATGGCTCAATAAATCAATCCAGTCAACAATAATACTCCACATCATTGTGCCAAAAACTCCACATTATTTACAGTGTAAAAGGTTGGAAGTAGTTATTTTAGTGTACCAATAATTCTATCATGTACTATGGTAATTATTTATTTTATTTTATTTATTTATTTATTTATTTATTTAATTTTTGCATTTCATCCTAAAAATTCAGTGAGACTCGAACTTTCGAGTAGGAAATGTCCCTTATTTTCCCTCCAGGGAAAAGAGCTCCGAATCTGTTCTTCCTTATCAGGCATTTCTAGCTTTATGAACAGGAAAGCATAAAGATAATATCCTGGATGTGAATGGTAAGACAATAATAAGAATAGTACTTTTCCCTCAACATGTCTGATAAATGTTGTACGATTTTGTCCACATTTAAATTTCACCATTCATGGGGAAGCCATTTAAGGGTTAAAGGAGCCCATGTTCCACCCTCACCTTTTGAAATAACAATTCTTTCACCACTTTATTTATTTTTTATGTATTGAATTAAGAAGTCACCAAGAAGATGAGGAAGCATTGATGCCAACTCAGAATTAGTGGCAACAGACGTGAGTCACATATCTTGTTGGATGCATAGCTGGACTTCAGATTCTAGATGAAAGAAGGCTCTAGAAGATCTACAGAGGAGTGTGCTCTGCTGCACGATTGAAGTTTGTTTTTCAAATTCTGTTTTCCTTTTGTACAGCTCACCAACTTGTATAGAATTGGTTAGAATAGATTCCTTTTATTTTCTATAAATAGTCTAGCCTTGTACAGAAAATATGCAACAGAAAAATGAATACAAATTGATATTCATCTCCAAATTATTTTCTTCATTATACATTTTCTTATATGGTATCGGAGCCAATCATGGCTGATTCAAATGATTCAAACGAATCCAATACCACTCAAAACAATATTAATACCACTCAAACCAGAAATATTAACTCTGATCCTTCACACCCAAATAGCCCCTTCCACATTAGCGCAAATGATAACTCTGGGTCTTTACTTGTGTCTCATATCCTGGACTCAAAGAATTATCATTCCTGGGCAAGATCCATAAAGCGTGCACTCCGAATAAAAAACAAGCTGGGTTTTATTGATGGAAGCATCTGTGAACCAACTGCTGCAGATAGTCCCCTCATGGAGCATTGGCTTCGATGTAATGACATAGTCATCACTTGGCTGCAAAACACCATGGCACCTGACATCAAATGCAGCACTCTCTATGCTGATACAGCCCATCAATTATGGAAGGAACTTGAGCAAAGATTTGCCCAACAAAATGCACCAAGGATTTTTGAGATCAAACAAAACATTGCTAATCTGATGCAAAATCAGGATAGTGTAAGTGTATATTTTTCAAAGCTGAAAACATTTCTGGATGAATTGATGAATTATGAATCTATTCCTAGTTGTTCTTGTGGAGGATTGAAAGATGTGATAAGCAACCAACAGAGAGATTGGGTTATGAAATTCTTGATGGGACTTAATGATTCTTATAAAAACCTGAAGGCACAAATCCTTCTGATTAAGCCGTTTCCAACTTTGAATGAGGTTTATTCCCTTATCCAACAAGAAGAAAAGAGGCGGGAGATCTCCTTTGACAGACCACCTAATGAAATGATGGCAATGTTAGCAAAAGGGAACCACAATACAGGAAAATCATATCTGGAAAATCAAAAGAAGGAAAAATACTACTGCAGTTTTTGCAAAATACCTGTTCACTCTCTTGAAAGATGTTACAAAGCTAATCCTAGCAAACAGCAATGTTCTCATTGCAAATTTCCTGGACACTCAGCAAACAAGTGTTACAAATCGCATGGGTATCCTCCAGGGCACAGGTTTGAAAGGAAGAACAGATCTAATGCATCTTATTCTTATGTTAATCAAGTTACTTCCCTTGTGCCTCTTAATCAAGAGCAAATCAATGATACTCCACAAGTTTCCTTGACACCAGAGCAATATTCCCAGCTAATGACATTGCTTAAACCACAACATCATCCAGTCGCTACCAGCCACGACCAAACAAACGTTACCTCCTTCACTGATGATGTTATACCAAAAATGTTTGGTATTACTCTTAGTTTATTAGCATGTAATACTGAATGTCATAATATTTCAACTATTCCTTGGATATTGGACACGGGGGCAACAGATCACATGATCTGTTCCACCTCCTTTTTCACTTCAAATCCAACATCAGTTTCATACCCAGTAAGTTTACCCAATGGAGAAATGGTTTCAGTCAGTCACATTGGTACTGTTAAGTTCACAAATTCCATTATCCTTGAAAATGTGCTATGTGTTCCTTCATTTTCTTTTAATCTCATTTCAGCCAGAAAAATGACACAGAGTTTGAATTGTTGCCTAATTTTTCTCCCTAAAACATGTTTTATACAGGACCTTCTAACCTGGACAACGACTGGAATGGGTGAGGTGAAGCATGGATTGTATCATTTACTGCAAAAGAAAGTATCTCCTTCAGCTTTGAAAGACACTCTTGCACCCACTGCTGCCAAACTTCCTGTTGCTGCCTCTATCATCAATCATTCCAATAAATTTGACCTATGGCACTATAGATTAGGTCATTCATCATATCCCAACTTTCATTTACCTGGTCATACCCCTAGTTCAAAACCTGTAACAGATAAGAGACCATGTCCAGTTTGTCCTCTAGCAAAGTTACATAAACTTCCCTTTCCTTCGAGTCAGCACAAGTCACAAAGATGTTTTGATCTTGTGCATTGTGACTTGTGGGGACCGTGTAATGAAATTAGCTATGATGGTTCAAGATATTTTCTAACCATCGTTGATGATTACAGTCGATGTACTTGGGTTTATCTTTTGAGACAAAAATCTGGTGCTTCTCATGCTATTCAAACTTTCTACAACATGATTGAGACACAATTTAACACTAAAATCAAAATAATTCGTAGTGACAATGGTGCCGAATTTAACATGAAAGAGTTTTATTCCAAAACAGGCATCATACA